GAAAATACCTTAATCAGCGTCTTCCTATAGTTACCATGAATCTATTGGAGCTGCAGGGCTGAGAATGGTTGGGTGGACAGGAATTGTGATATTATCCTAGGCTGTCTTTCCTAATCTAGATTTTGGATCAGTTCATAACACATGTATGTGCACTTACACGTCCACATATCAGGTATAGAAGGTGGCATATAAACTCTCAAAACCACTAGATTTAAATGAATGAGAAATCCCGCTTTTCTCCATCGTTTGCCTCCTGTACTTGTATGGTGTTTATTTATAATTCTGAAGCATTTCCAGTGTGCCAAATTTAATCTAGCATAGCTAAGAGGCCTCCCTTTCTTCAAATACAATCTCACAGCTTATTTTCCATTGTACAAACTGTGCCTGAGGTAAGGGGAGATGATTTACAGTTTTAGTCTAATTTCTTGCTAGGGGCCCAAGCATTGTGCCAGTTTTGAGCAATCTTTACTTATGTGCGAAGATGCAGATCTACTGCTATGTGCTTCTCTCCAGGCTGAGGCTATCCTGGGGGTCAGTATGCAGACACTGCTTCTTCCCCATGAGTAGTCTGCTGGCACGGGTTGAGGCTGCACACTGAGGACTCTGCCCATCTCTGAAATAGAAGCATTTAGTTGTCTAGAATCTTGGCATATTTTGGTAATAGTTTATGTAGCCTTCAATTAATTTTCCAGAGTTTTTTCCCCTGATGGGGCCAGAGGATTGACTCATCGGATAAGAGCATAGCTGCCCTTGTATGGGACCCAGGCTCAGTGTTCAGCACCCATATGGCTACTCACACCCATCTGTAACCTCAGTTCCTGACACTGACACTGTCTCCTGATCTCTAAGGGCAACACACACACACACACACACACACACACACACGGTGTACAACATACATTCAGGCAAAATGTTCATACACAAAGTAAATAGATCTAATCTAAAAATAAATTAAAAAATCTCAATAACTATGATATGAAACAAATGTTAATTATTCTAATATTCATTAAACATCTAATGATTAAGAGGTGAAATAGCAACCTGTAAGTCCTTTCTTTAAACTTAAGTTAAATTGGCTGCTATATATTTATAGAGGTTGAGACAGGGTTTTCCTATGTATCTCTGGCTGTTCTGGAAATTGCTATGTAGACCAGGCTGGCTTTGAACTCATAGTCACCCCCGCCTATGCCTCTGAATTGCTGGTCTTAAAGGATGTGTTATGACATCTGACTGTTGGCATATGTTTTAAGTGTTATGTGTGGTTTGTTTATGCAAACATTTCTGGTAATTCAACAGCACTATTGGAACACACAGCTTTAAAGAAATGATACCACATTTCTAGGGAAATTAGACTGAATGAATTGTGGTGGGACATTTCTTTACTGGGGCCAGGAGCATCCTTTTGCTCTTAATCAGGTTTAGTCACAAATCAAGAACACATTTAAGACAATGAGACATCTCTCAGAAATATGGCTACTGTATCTCTTGCTTATACATGATCAATTGCAAGCTGTGACAATGAGTATCACATCACAGATTTATAAGGATATAAACCTGAGGAGACAGGTTCTCCCAAAGTGATTATTCCACTGCAAGTTAGTGTAGACATGGAACTAAGTAGAAATGGTTTCTATGAGGGACCATCTCATATTGCATGGATGTCTACTACAGATTTCTAAAAAAACAATATAAGAAATGGAACTCTCTGCACACAGTTTAAGGAAAAAATAAAATATACAGTGCTATTTAAACAGCAGGAAGATGGTATGGTAGCTTACACTTGTAGTGTTAGCATTTGTGAACCTGAGGCAGGAGGATTGCTGTGCATTCTAGGCTAGACCCTGTCTCAAAATAATAGCAAGATCACCACCAGACAAACAGCAACGGCAATAACAAAAAATAAATAAAAAGAAAGCCAAAACAAAGCAAAACAAAACAAAATCTAGTTAAAACCGTATTCCTTATTACCAATTATGCATCTGTATCACAGTACTTCAAGGATTATGAAGTTGAATACTTCAGCTCCCTGGGTAGGCAGCTTGGCACTGTCCAGGCCTGGAGTGAGAATAGTCAGCAAACACATGAGTAATTTCTGTAATTTCTGTGTGGGAAGCAGGAGAAAGGCTGCAGTAGAATTGAAGTTCCAGAAAAGTGGTGTGTCCTGTGCCCCCAGGATCCACTGTGTACCACTGTGTGCCCCCCTGGACTCAAACTCCCCAACCTTCTGAAAGCTATTTGCAAAATAAAGAATGCATAGGAGCTCTCATTGAAAAGTCACTCACTAAATCTTCCCTTTTCTTTGTTGACCCTTGCTTGTTACATGTTACATACCCAAGAATGGCCACTCACTGTGTTCTGTGTTCTGAGATGAAGTGTGGGTCACCACATGAAGAGGGTTTACCCATGTAAACCAAGGGTGCTGATGGATACTGTTGAATCACATCCCTTATGAGGCAGGCTAAGGAAGCCAGTTTGCTGGTCATCTGACATGCTGCTTGAGAGAACAACTGGGAGAGGTGAGGTATAATAACTCATGTCTGAGGGGACGTCAGTAGCCAGCTGGAAAGATGCTGTGTTATTAATCCCCTTGAAGAGACTGCAAGATGCTCATTGAAGGGTACATATACCCCACGTCCAAGGAACTGCTCAGTAGATTCACAACAGTTTCAAAGGGGAGATTTTCTGCTCTCCCCCCTACTCTATCGAACACTGGGATACCTGGAGGCAGGTTTAGCATTTGGTGAGTAGGTAAATGGGTCCAGAATGAATTCATTACACAGGAAACAAACAAACAAACAAACAAACATCAAATGGTTCACCTTGATTTTTTGTTTTAGTAGCGTTTCCTGTAAGTGTATGTGTGTGTGTGTGTGTGGACTTGAGATAAGTTCTTACTTATTCCAAGCTGGCCTCTAACATATTCTTCAGCCTCTAGATTGTAGGCATGAGCTTCTGTGCCCATCTCCTAGCCAAGCTTCTTGAGAGGACAAGATAGCTTCTGCAGAGGGAACATGATTCAACTCTAAAATGAAAAGATTTGGCTATGTTACAGAATCAAACATTTTAATAAGTTATGCGGACACATCTAGGACTTTATATCCCCTCCCAGCACAACCCCAGTGTAGAAAGAGGAGTCCTGGATCTCACCCAGTCCTAGTTTCAGCCAAGGGGTTTGAAGAAGGTAATGAGTCCTCAGCATAGGTTTGATCACAGTGGAAGCAATGATCCACTAATTGATTTCTGATTACATCAAATGAGCCTCGTCTGCTGTGCTGATTTTATTTTTACAACATAAATAATTTCTTATGCTTGTTCCCAAGTCTACTATAGTGGCTTTGCCTTGGCATGGTGGGTTTCAGTAGAAGGTTCTTTGAGAAATTCAGTAAGGTGTGGCTAGGAGGAGATAAAGACAAACATAGGTCCTTCCATCAGTGCTGCCTCCTTTAACCACAAGGGGGAGCCCTCAGGATGAGTACTGTTGTCTGGCTTTTGGATGTGGACTCCCCAATACAGAAGATTAGACAGGTTCCAGTAGCACCACAGCAAGTGAGGGGAAGAGCCATGTTTGCTCCTTTTTCTGACTTATCCTTTGCAGACCACATGGCTTAGCTTCTGCTAATCCCTATTGTGACAGAAGGAGGGGAATGATGAATTGAGCCATTCGTTCCTAATAATGAACATTATTTTGAGGTAAGCTAAATATTTATCAGTGCATATAACCTTTATCTGCTTCCTAGACACCCCCTAAAGTTGTCTTTAAAATGCCTGGAAGAGGCTTATGACAAGTGTTTATTTTTTAACTTTTTAGTTCAATACTTTATGTTGTTGAAAATAGGACTTTAAGAGCTCCCACATGCCAAGCAAGTTTTCTATCAGCAAGCCACGTCTCAGCTCATGGCTTTCCTTTGTAAAGACTTAGGTCAGTTAGTCTTTTCAATATGTGGAAAGTGTAAGATAGCAGTTCTGCCATTGTCCCCTCTCAGAAACTTCTGAGACACCCTCATGTTCATGGAGTATGCTTTAAGAGTTTTGGAGCATAAAGAAAATGACTTCAGTGCCTGAATTCTCTCTCATGAAGTTTAGCCAAAGCCTGTCAGAATTTCAACGTTCCATCTCTGTTTTGTCTCTTTTCACTATGTATCACAACTTTTAAAGTCGGAGAACAGTTTGAGAATGGGAAATTCTGTGCTTTTTTTTTTTTGATTGTATTGTATAGCATCATATTCTATTCACTTCCTGTCACATCACAACCTTTTGTCTAAAAAGGGGAAATCGTCCCTATCCCATTGGTGGCTTCTTGTTTGATCCTATTTGCTGCAGAAGCAAAGACAAGTAAGCTCGGTGAGACCCCAAGGTCATCTGATCCTGCCTTTGTGCCAGGACATGCAAATGACCCAGGCCAATCGCTAACCTGTTTTCAGAAGACCTCCAATCAGAAGGGGTCCAGGCTGCCTTCTGAGTGCTGTTGCTGTGTTCATTTGCATGCCGCAAGTGCCTTCCCATCTCCCGCACTCCTATCTCGTGCTTCTGTCTTCCTACTCATTTCCAGTGACCCTCTTAGTTTTGTCTACTCTGCCTGGCCGCTCTTTTCCCTCCAGAACTGGTGGGAGACAAGTGTTAGTCTGCAAACAGCCCAGATGTAAGGTAAGTTGCAGGCCCTGGACTCTGGTGTCCTGTTCCCCCTCCTCAACTCCATAGGGTCAGTCAGGGGCCAGTGGCACTCCTCATTTTACAAAGATATTTATTTGGCAACGGAGTCTCCACCAACCTCAGCAAACACTTCAGATCACTTCAACTTCTCAAGGCTGACATTTCTCTGTCGCTTAGCAAACGGGACACTAGAGGGCTCCCAGGGGCTGAGAGGAGCAGAAAGTTGCTTGAATGAAAACTGGCTCTGAACTGTGTTTGGAGAAATTCAAAATTAAATTTTATTTTTTTTAGTCATCTTTAAAAAGAACCTCACGTGTCTGAAAACGGTGCAGCAGTCAGTTTACAAATCATTCTGCTTTGCTGTTAGAAGGCGGCAGCTTTTAAGGCTGAGCTGAGATGTTTGAAAGGTGGAACACTCTTGACCATGAAATATGTTCTCCTTACTCGCCTCAGCCTTTCAAAGTTCTGTGCATTAGAGTCAGGGATTCCATTCTTCCTGGAGCTAAGCGTGGGGCCAGCTGTGTAAGTAAAGTTTTGGTTTTCTTTTTAATCTAGTTTTTTTCTCTATTAAAAAATGTGAAGAAAAAGGCAAAAAACTTAGATTCTTTTCTTTCATTTTTCTCTCTTTAGTGGAAAGAAAAGAAATGAAAAGCAATTGTGTGTGTGTGTGTTTGTGTGTGTGTGAGAGAGAGAGAAAGAGAGAGAGACAGAGAGAGGGAGGGAGGGAGGGAGGGAGGGAGAGAGAGAGAGAGAAGGAGAGAGAGAGAGCGAGGGCGCAAGCGCTCATCCTTTCCACTTTCCAAGCTATACAGACATTAAGGGGTAGTTAAGTAACAATTTTAGATATGAAACATATTTTGAAGACAATATAGAAATTTCTGTTAAGAGAGTATGTTTAAATATGAACTCACTACTTGTTGTTTTTGCTCAAATAGTTAATAAATATCTTATAAAAATTAGGGTGCCTATAAAAATCTTACAAAGTATTTATTTCTTGTCTTATTTCTGAATTACAAAAAGGAGGTCTGCAGGGAATGATCCCGGTTCATGACATTTGAATGTTTTGCTTCTCAGATGTAGTGGCTTTAACTCTGAGCTTTCAAATGCTCTTTGCAGCTAGTCTTTATTACTTTAAAGTGAAATCAGACTCACACACCTATCTTGCTTCCGTGTTTTAAACTTTACACCAAACTTGGTAGAATTTATGGAAGGAAAGGGTTACTCGCCTCTTTCCTCTTGTAGAGGAACTGAAATGGGTTGAGTTAGTGACTCAGTCAACTCTGTTTCCATTCATTCCCAGAGTCAGCCCTCCTTTCTCCTGGGGAAGGCTGATAGGAGTTTAAAAGGCTTGCGGTGGCCAGTGCACAAAGCGTTCCCAGAACCCGCAGCGACCCTTCTCTTTACCTCTGCCTGTTGGAGACCACTTAGCGAAGCCGACTGGACGGCTGGATTCAGGAAGCCATGAATCATGTCACCAGGAGCCAGCTGCAGACTTTAAACTCAGTTCAGCATGTGGAAGCGGCAGAGAAATGACCTGTCCAGACAAGCCGGGGCAGCTCATAAACTGGTTTGTCTGCTCCCTGTGTGCCCCACGAGTGTGTAAACTTTGGAGTAGTCGGCGTCCCAGGACCAGACGGAACTTACTGCTGGGCACTGCATGTGCCATCTACTTGGGCTTTCTGGTGAGCCAGGTGGGCAGAGGCTCCTTCCAGCATGGGCAGGCAACTGACAGGGGACCACCCAACAGTCACGACATCTTCAAGGTACCCTTCCCGGAGATTCCTCTGGATGGTACCCTGGCCCCTTCAGAGTCGCAGGGCAATGGAAGCACACTGCAGCCCAATGTGGTATACATTACTTTACGCTCCAAGCGCAGCAAGCCTGCGAATATCCGTGGCACGGTGAAACCCAAGCGCAGGAAGAAGTATGCGGTGGCATCTGTAGACCCTGATCAGGAGGTGCTGGTTAGACCATCTCTTATACAGCAGGAAGTTGCACGGGGAGCAGATGCTAAAGTACTTGGCTTTGTTCAGGGTTACCTGACCAAGGTTGGTGAACGACCTTGGAGGGTGCTGCATGGTCCTGGAGTCAGAACTAGAGGTTCAAACTTGCAGCAGCTTAGGGTCCAAGAGAGCAACATTAGGATTTACAGTGAGAGCGCCCCCTCCTGGCTGAGCAAAGAAGACATCCGCAGAATGCGCCTCCTGGCTGATGGTGAGGTGGCTAGCATCCTACCAGCAATCTCTAAGAGTGGTGCCCGCTTGCTGGTGTTGGAAGGGAGCACCTCAGGCTCTGTGCCTGGCTGCGGGCCTAGCCCCTGTGGGCTTCTCAAGCAGCCTCTGGACATGAGTGAAGTGTTTGCCTTCCACCTGGACAGGATCCTGGGTCTCAATAGAACCCTGCCATCTGTGAGCAGGAAATTAGAGTTCATCCAAGGTAACAGATTCACTTGCTTCTTATTTGCAGCTGCTGGGGATTTGGGATTGTTTTCTGCTTTCCCCTACTCTCTCTGAATTATTTTTCCCACCCATGTTTCCCATTTGGACAGCAGCAGCATCGTCATCTTTCCATATGCGTGGCATTCTTCTTTTTCCCAGTCTGGTTATGTTAGAGTTCTAGCACACAGCTGTGCTGGGCATGTGAGGGTAAGCCAACACTGGAATCTTTGCTTTCCGTTTTTCTCTGTGCACTTTTCGTGGCGTGTTAAATCCAACTAAAACCAATGGCAATTTGCACGGTGACAGGAAGCCAGGGTACAAAGCTTGCTGAAAGCCCTGCATAGAACCTTGCAGTTTTCTACGGAAACTTCCTTCCTAGGATAGACGGTTTAAAGAGTAAGGGGTTGGGGGTGGGGCGTAGAGAAATGATAGCTCAGTGGTTAAAAGCACTCAATGCTTTTGCAAAGGACACACACACACACACACACACACACACACACGGAGTTTCACAACTGCCTGCAACTTTAGTTCAGGGGTATCCAACACTGTCTTCTGACCTCTGTAGGCACCAGACATGCATGTGGTACACTTACACAAATGAAGACAAACACTTCTATGCATAAAATAAAGATTAAATTAAAAAATAAGGGGAAAGTGGTTATCTTTCCTCAGCAAACAATCTTTGTCAGAGGCTCAGGCAGGACTGACCACATAAGAGCCAACTCTTACCTCGACTGTCACCAATGGACTCAGCCTCTTAAATAAAGAAAGAACATAAGGTGAAATCACATGTGATTTCTTCAAGCTTCATTGTTTACAGAGCCTGATGTGTCCTCCTGTAACACAAAGGTAGTGTCTAGGGCGTGTGGCCACTAACTGAAGTACAACTTTGCAGTGCTGGACTCTGGAAATGATCACGCTACATAGAGGACAGTCTCTGAATAAGAATGCCATGTCAGGGTCGAAATCCGAAGTATACTCAGTCAGTGACTTGTGCTGGAATGTAGAACAATCCAGGGTGAAATATTGTAGTCTCTCTCTCCAGCTGTGAAATGGCAATACTGTCCACCTCATGAAGTTGCTTGTAACTCACACATAGAAAAAAGTTCTTGACACAAACCAAACCTTCAATAAGTGTTGGCCATTGTCGTTCTTCCCCTAGGTACATGAAATACCAAGTTCCTTGAGATGCTTTGGGCCAGCAACCCTCTCAGGTCATTTTCTTTTGTGAACAAACTAGCACTAGAACTCTGCTAGCTTGACTATGCCTATTTTGTGCCAGAATTCCTCTTAGATATTTGATTCTGTTCCCTGGGTTTCTAGAATGAATATATATATATATATCCATATCCCAAAGATTCAGTTTGAAGAAATCTCTGACAGTGTCCTCTCTCCAACCCTCTCTAAGTGGCAGTTGAATTGCGGCTCAGTATGACGAGTTCCATCCCTAGGGTTTTGTATCAGATGGCTTCAGTGGTTGCTCTGCTCTTGTTCAGTGATCTCTTCCCTTCAGTTTTTAATTCATGAAGTCAGATCAGCTTCCTCAGGAGCATGAAAGGACTCACATGTACATCATCTTATACATGTGGCTCGTTACAGTGAGGTAGGCGACAAGAACAGGTCAGTCCCAGCATGCAAGGAACATTCTCAGGCTTCCCCTTCCTATCTTGCTGTTTTTCTACTGATTTCCACTGGGCGTCAATTTCCATGTCAGGACCTCCTATTGTAGCTCAAGCTTAGTTCTGTGTGAGCATGTCTGAGCTCCGAAGGAGATCTGGCTCATTCTATACAGTGCTATAATGTCTTCTCTCCCTTTCCCACTGGTCTCTGCATCTGGGAGGCAGTTATGTTTTCTGTAATTTTTTTTATTATGTGTCTGGATCCTATTGGAGTGTCTAACTTACTGAAGATACTCAATGAACACGTTGAATGAATTGCAGGAATTCCTTCTTGCCTTGTTTCTTCAATGCTTGACAGCAAATCTGTATCTGCCTCCAGCTTCTATGCTAAGGACAAGTAGTAGTATTTTTATCCTACATCCAGGCTGGGATTCTTCTGGAGTGCTTCATGAAAAGGTTACTGTGGAGGCTAATGACAAATATTCCTGGTAGCCTTGTCACAGTACAAATACTAAGGCTTCTAGATGTGTTATGTTGAGGACTGTCAGCTTGGTGTACTGGTATTACGCTAGCATGATTTAATGTTGGGTGTTCTGTAGGAGGAGCAATACGATTTGTTTAAGTGATATGGTTCTGTCTGGAAGTACATCTTTTTATATGGAGGACAGAGTAGTAGTTAACACATCTTGTATGTAGTCTGTCCTAAGGGCTGCTTCTGTTCTTTGACTTTTACTTGGGTTTATGAAAATGCATTTATGTCTCATACAAAGAAGACAGCTTGTTTGAAGAGCAGAGTTAAGTGTCTGGGTTCTCTCACTGACTCTCCAAGAATCTTACATAGTTGGCATTTAAAAAAAATCCTTAATATGAGATGAAAGACAAGACTGTTCAGAGTCATAAAAGGAGAATGAATTCTTAAGACCATAAGGAATAAAGGCTCTATGTTCTCTGTATTTTATCCTAAATGTCCAAGTTTTTTCTGTTTTCACCAGTCAGCTTCTTTTAACAAATCCTTTAAGAGCCACAAGGCATTTCTTTTTCTCTCCATATACTTAATCAGAATCTCAGTCATTGAATACAGTATCACAGGTGACCAACATTCATCCACACATACAGGCTGTGGAAACCTCTTCTCTCAAGGGAACAGCAGCCTGTATTGTAACCATGGCTCACTGAGTGTCACTTCTCACCAAGCACCATGCTGTTTTGAAGAACTGGCTCTCCATTATCACATGAAGTTCACATAAAAGTTCTTGGAAGTGTACTCCAGACACAAGACCTTGGAACTCCATGATAGGAAGTTGATGAATATGGAGATAGAAGGCCAAAATAAATATTTTTATTAAAAGCCTATGGAAATAATTGGATATAAAAGGGATGTGTAGCATTCCTAGGGAGATGCAAAGAAGACCCCTGAACAGTTTGCCCACTCTTTGTCTCCCAATAGAAGCTTTCCATTGATTCAGTCCAGTGATAAGAGGGTCCCAATTACAGACACATCTCCCCTCACCATAGGTTTATGCACTGGGATTAGAAGATGCACGTAATATGGCTAACTGAGGCCATTATCATTCAACCTGTCTCATCTTAAGCATGATCAGGATGCATCCAGGAATATTTATTTTAGCCTATAGCTGGGCAAAATCATCTACCACAAAGCCTGTTTTGTAATAAAGGCTTGTATACACACAAAGAGGTGTCTTTCATACACATGATGGGATGTAAAAGACAATATCCAAGTCATGCCTGAAATATAATATGCTAGAGATTGTTGGTTGTCTATGTTCATAGTCAGACGGCTAACAGGGTCTCAGTGCTGCCACCTGACATTGCTAAAAAGCACCATCAGATACTGCTAGTCCAGGGAAAGATCAAAACTCAGAATTTTAAATATGATTTCTACAGAGTACTCTCATACCATCATAAAGTTGAAAAGTTATAAATTAATTTGAGCTACAGTGCAGGGATTGTCATTATAGACTACTGTCAACACATATTTTTCAAGATTAAAAAAATTAAATTATATGTATGTGTGTATTTGAGTATTTGGCTTATGCATGTGAGTGTAGAGTCCTCAGAGTTCAGAACAGGGCACTGGACCCCCTGGAGCTGGAGTTATACATGGTTTTGAGCTGCCTGATATGGTTGCTGGGAATGGAACTGGAATCTTTCACAAGAGTAATATGCTCTTGTAACTACTGAATCATCTCTCTAGACCTGTCTTCACAATTTTAAAAATTGATAAAAGAAATAGTGATTCAATCATCACAGAATTATGAATTCAGATTACTCTTGGACCAGTTCTTGGTTTTAGAGTGATATGTTTTAAATGAATCTCTTTGAATATAAAAATATGTATTTGAAATCCATGGACTTGCCAATACTTATACTGAGCTATTTTCTGGAATGCTGCAAAGCTATTCTAGAAAAGAAAAAAGTATATATGGGAAAGTTTGTAATTAGGTAGAGAATGTCAGAAGCATGCCAATATACAAGATCTGGTCATTCTTATAGACACAAAATTATGTTTTATGGCTATCTTTGAGGGAGGTCTAAAGATAAAAATAAATCATTTTTTAAAAAGGATCCAGTTTTAGTCCCTCTTTAAGCATTTAAGATTAAGAACCATAAGCCTCTGATGGGGAGAAAGAGGTTGGCTGGACACCTGTTTAGGAAGAAAGAGCAACCTACACAGTGGCTGAAGGCTAATAGATCTAACCTGTAAAACTGGTTAGGCCCAACATGGCTAACTGGGATGATGCCTAAGAGTCCTTTACTAAAGGACCTCAGAGTCCTTTATCAAGATATCACCAACTGTGCACTTGCCTAACATGGATAAGGTCCTCTGTTCAATGCTAAGCACCACAAACAAATAAAGAAGATAAAATACCAGTAACATCTGATATGTAGAATTGGTAATGAACACGAGAGAAAAGACATCACATATGCTGCAGGCACTATGTGATGTCTAGCTGTAAATTCTTTGTAAATGCATCTTGCTGCATCTGACACTGAGGCGAATGTGGGAAATCACATCTAAGGATTGAAAGTGGCAAAAAAATCCCCTTCCATTCCTGGCATTCCTTGCTTTTCTTCACCTTAACTAATGAATAATCTTTTCTGTTTTGTTTTGTTTAAGTTTGCCTACGAAACCAGTGATCTAAAATCCTGAGGCTCACTCACATCTTGAAAAACAACACCCACCCTTGGGTATGTCGTACTGTCATTGCAGTTTTAGATAAAGCCCAATTTAGTTTTATAAAAAAAATGAAATATAACAAGATATTCTTTACAGTCATATTCAACTTGTCCTCTCTTAAAGACCTAGTGCTAGACATAATGCAGTATATAGTAATGGTGTTGTTAGCCATGCACACGA